GCGCCTCTGGTCTCGATAGCTCGCGTTGACATACGGATCCCCGAGATCCCCACCCCCGCCCCCAATCCTTCGCCGCAGGTGACGGGTTCGGGAATCGCCCTCCGTGATATACAAAGCCCGCTCCATCGAGCCGACGGTTCTCCACTGCCCCGCACCGTGAATCACTTGAAAACACGTCAAAGATAGTTGCCTCTGCCGCCGCCGATTCGACACTGGTCTCCACCGATTCCTCGAACTTCATGATCCAAGTTCTTCGTGGCTTTCGGAGGGGAACGCGGCTTCCGACCAGCTCGCGCCCATCGGTATCCCAGGAAAGTCTTTTGCGAGGTTTGAGAACGGTATGTGGACACCGATCGATGAGCTCAGGCGGAACCGATGGTGAGCGTACTGGGAACGCAGAGAGGAGCGGTTCTGCAGTGCTACGAGTGTAATGAATTCGGAGCATCTAGAGCCATGAATGAGAGTATCTAGCCAGCGTGATAAGTGGCAGAACCTATGAATAAACCCTGTGGCGAGTCACAAACGCTCAGGCGACGGAGAGAGATCCTGTAGATCCGCCAGAGTCGCAGGCAGCGACGCAACACTGCACATCCAACACCGAGAGAGAAGTTGCGTAACGACCCCTTGCAGCCGATCTGTGGTTCGGGAGAAATTCAAGTCGCCTGCGTGTTTCTAAACGGCAGCGGCCCATACCTATCGTACACCTTGGTTCTCATTGGTGGCAGAGGCGGGGATCCCCAAAGGGTGTTGCGAAACCTGCGGAAGGCGATTTGGTAGCAGGAAGAAACTGGCGGCAAGGATTTCCTGTAACCTTTTATTGTGTCCTGACAAGCATCAACTTCCAGACAGCCATGTACAATAGGATTCATACAACAAGCAAACACAGGAACCCCGCACTCGGCGCAGAATCTAAATATTTGTATCAAGACGATGGAAATATTGCACTCCCTCTTATACTCCATGCACTCCATCCTGAAGCCAGGGCTCATTGATTTGACTTATCTAGTCACTATATACGAGTCCCGATTCGAGCTCAATTGGAGCTTTCTCGCTCTGTGAGTGACGAGTCGGGCGCGGAATCGGCTGTTCCTCCGCAGTTGGAATCTTCGCTCATACGCCACATGTGGAAGGCATACCTCAAATCTCTCTCTGATGTCGTCGTTCTAAAAGGCGGGTTCCGATCCTTGAGGAGCTCACCGAGATACTCTATGTATCGAGAGGCAAGCCTCAGCGTGCAAATCTTCGACATGCTTTCTGTGTCTCGTGTCGGCAAGGCACCTCGCAGTCGCGAAAGTCCCGCGTTCAAAGCCTTCGTACGTTGACGTTCTCGGTCATTTGCTTTGTTTCGAGAATTCGTCGGGATGACTCGTGACTGCAAACATAAGCGTAACGGGAGTCACTATTGAAGTTATAAATCTTTCTATCGAAGGAGTTTTGGAACGTCACCCTTTGCTTACCCTGTTTTGATGGCTTCTGTCGACTGCAACATCGGCTTGTCGCTTGGCTTCGTGAGCTTTCCGGAGTTCGCCCGCTGCAGCGCTTCGTCGCGGGGTCGGAATGAAGCGTGAGGGCAAAGCACATTCCGAGGGGTTTGACCTCGGAGAGCCTTCCTCAGAAGATCGCGGCGTGCTCAGGGGCACGCCGTAAAGACTGCTGGAGCTCAAGAATGGTGACATGCTCCTTCGAGTCCGAGTTCTGATTTCTGACTGTTCATGCGCGTCGACTCTTATGAGCTCCAACACCGGTCAGGGAAGGGTAGCGTAAGAGCATCCTCCGCTGGGTCCTCCCACGCAGCATGAGTGATTTTATAGTGATAAATCATTTTAGAGAATGCTTGACTTTGATCAGTTCCGGTCTTCCTTCCCGCGTTTACGCCCCGACTCCCAAGAGCTTCGGTGTTGCTTCGACAAATCTCGCCTGTATATCTTGCGATGAAGTCTACATGAGAGAAGCCGCGCCGAAAGGAGGCTCAATTAAGGAGGAACCCCGCCGAAGACTAAGATCATAGCTCTGCCGCCGTGTAGAGCACGTGAATTTTCAGCTCCGGAAGTGGATCTTTTCGCGAATAGAAAAAGCACAGGGGCTACATTCACTCGACCTTGGACTTTTTGGAAGATGTCTCTTGCGGGACAACAGAGGAGCCGACTCAGCTTCTTGAGACGGTAGTTGATTCAGATCCGCCGCATTAGATCATTACGCCCCACTTCAAAGCTCCACCGACTCATGCACCGATCGGAACACGACCATTCGGGGCGGACAATCCGACACGGGACCATTCGGCGCAGGCTCCTTCGGCGCGAAGGATAATCCGGTAACGCAAGATTCAGCGCCAAGTGAGGAGTATTGGAGATCAAAACGATCCGACTGAACGCGCGCACAGTCCTTTTTGCGCTAGTCACTCAATTCGCTCATCATTGTGGGCACACATGACTAGCTAAATGTTTGGGGGCGGCATTTTGGAAGGAGGAGCCCATCCGCCTCCCCTGAACCTGAGTCCGCCTCCACACCTATGCTGGTTGTTCATGCTCGGCCGAACTCCATCCGGGAAGCTTTGCGCTCGCGTACTATGCGATCTCTTATCGAAAATCCCATCGCCCTTTTCTGCATGCGCGTTGAGGAAATCAAGAAATTCCATTAGTGAGCAATGAGATCATGAGAATTCGGAGGTTTAAACTCAGGATGACGTCGGCCCCCGTCCGAACGGCCTATGATTGAGAGGGAACTCATTTCCCCGCGGTAAGGCCCGACAACAGCCTCTTATATAGCATTCGAATAGTTCATCGTTTCATCTTAGAGACTGCTCATATTCGATCGCTTATATCGTTGAGAGGGAGGCGAGCGGGGGGACCCGAGCTGTGATACATGAGGCACTCCTATCTCTAGCTTGACTTGACAGTCATTTCTGGAGAGAATGCTCCCGATCGTGGAGTACCGTGGGGTCGCTCCCAGGGCCCTCTGATCATCGAGCGTGCCTTGGGAAAAAGGAGTAATCATAGACTGCCGGAACTCAGGAGTGCTATCCAGTGCATATGCCGATACCGTTGACGACCGGGAGCTCTTAGTTAATCCTGTTCCGGGTTCGCACGTGATTGGTCCGTCGAACTCCCCTGATACCCTTTCGAAATCTCTCTGGAAAAATCGAAAGTCTCTTCTAACTAAAAGTGACTCGACGTTGAGAGATTGTTCAAATCCGGTAGATTCTCAGATTCCTCAAACCTGTAGATTCTTCGACGGACTTTTTTCATAACTAGGCTTTACGCCCGATGGAGATTCTTGTAGGAAGGGACGGACTAATTGCTTACGCCAATGATCGGGATTCTTCATCCCTATCATATCTTATGGGCACATTTAGGAGGCATTCGATAGAGAAGCCTTCCCGGCGAATCGGATTTCACCTCAATGAACTTCTGGATTATCCGATGATTTCGATTGATATCAAAATCGTCTCCTGAGTTAGGTAGATCTACCTCGAGTGAGAATTCGCAAGGAGCTTGATTAATTCATTTGACCGAGTATGAAATGATCCGAAATCAGAGACGCGTCCAGGAGAGCGCGGGATGGAAACTAGGGATACAAAAACGAGCTCTGGAGATAAATATAGAGGCTTTCGCATCGTGCTGGGAAAAATTCTCTCAAGTTTGAGAGCGATTGAAAGACTGTCAAGGGTCGAATTTCCGCGGACGGAGTTTTGAGGGTGACGGAAGCCGCATGTTTCCTATCCCCACTGGTGGAGAGTCAACTCTCTAAAGGAACTCTCTCGTTTCCCACAGTCGCTTCCCATGAGACGAATGGTCTCAGCTCAAGCTCGGGCGGTCGCTCCTGAGATTCATTAATTCATGAGCTGAATTCATTAATTCATGAGCTGAATTCATTAATTTATGAGCTGAATTCATTAATTCATGAGCTGAATTCATTAATTCATGAGCTGAATTCATTAATTCATGAGCTGAATTCATTAATTCATGAGCTGAATTCATTAATTCATGAGCTGAATTCATTAATTCCACTATAGCTCCACGCGAGACCGCCTATCACTCGCCCCTTGACCGGTGGGGAACCGAATTCGGAATTCTCGAAAACCTCACTTGAACACAAGCTGGCCAGGGATGAGTCACCGCTTTCCACAGAAGGCCAAATCGCAACAGCGAAACCAAGCAAACTTCGCCTTTTCTTGCTTCCGGAAGTCCTCCGTCGGAAGCTAGCCCCGATGGCTCAGGCGAACTTCCATGCGACGATTATTTGAATGCTCGATTTGAATCGGGAATGGATTCGCGCGCTCAAGGCTCTTGCGTCTGCAGTGGTTTCGAAACGGCGGCACCTCATCGGAGCACATGGTATCCATCTTAGTGTCTGCTAGCGCTGCTGCTCAACCTTTCACTGTGTGTGCTGCGGAATATTCGGTGTGGTGTGCGTCGAACTATTCCGGTATTCCATCGCGTGTTGTGGAAACTGACTTCTGAACTTGGTTAGTAGCTCTTCTGAAATAGGGAATCGATGCTCCCGAGCTGATGTCTGCTACGCTAGTGCTTTCCTCACGCTGGAAGATGGTTAGCACATGATCGGCCCACACGCTGCGCTTGTCCAAACGAGTTGCTGGGCGTTGAGGTCGGTGGATCGGAGCTTTGAGCGGGTTGCTCCCTTGTTTCGAATCTTAATTTTGTGCGGGTCCCCCTCAGAAGCCTAATCCGATTGATCACCTATCAAGTTTGGTCGTAAGCTCAGCACAGAGGGCCAAGTTGGCGTCGTTTTCCGATCAGCGATCCCCCTCGCGAGTCCATATATAGCGAACGATAGAATATTGTTCCAAAAAATACGGCCGTGGGATTCTCGTCCGTTGCATAGAGATCTCAGCCCTGTATCTGGAATCAGAACTTTTCCGGTGCAGTACAGAAGCTCTGAGAACGCAGCTTGCTGGCGTCATGTTTTCCTGACGGCGTATTCTGTGGACCAGCAAGTTCGTGTGTTCGCTACTCCACGGTTTCTGTTCGGATCCGCGTGTCTCGAATGTTCGACGGAACGCTTCGGCTACTCAGCTGAGCGAAAAGTTCATGACTCATGTGGTTCTTGCTCCAATCATTGGAGATCTCTCTTTGACTTGGCTTCGATTCGATTTTCGGAGATGGGCTCGATTGAAAGTGATCTGTGCAAAAGAGCAACCAAGAGAAATAGGCTAGCTTGGGGTCCGCGGGAGCGAAGGAGTGTCGGAGGAAAGCGCACTGACCATCCTTCCCTAAATGAGTGATTTTTTTATTCGTCCAGAAATGGCTCAGGAGACGAAGAATGGGGCGCCCGCGGAGGGCACCCTGCGAGACATACTGAGTGTCATGGAGAAAAAACCCGAAACCTGGAGAAGCGCAGGGTGAGTCCATTCGGTGGAATCGAGTCTCATCCGCTTCTCGACTTGATTATGATACAAAGCGGTATATTCTTGGAGTGTATCTAAAACCTAACGAAACTCAATCCCGTTCCGATCATTCATAGGTTCGTCTGGAGCTCTGCGAGAAGGAACTGGAGATGGGGAACCAACTCACTAAAAATCAACTACAAGCTCTCGCGAAGAAAGAAGAGGTGAAACATTCACGTGATCTTGGGGAGTCGTGATTCCTCATGGCTGGGAAATCAAGTTCCTCGGAAATTATAAATCATATGCCGCATTTATAATTTCCCGAATCCGCAGGTCCTCATAAAGCTCGAAGGTCTCCGGGAACTGCGAGTCATAGCCGAACAATACGCCAAGAATGACGAACGTGCTGAGGAAGTCAAGGCGAAGAAAGCCGAGAAAGCAATCACCAGCAAAATTTTGGACGTCGTCGCACAGGTGAGCCCCTCCGGATGAATTGAGATCTGTCTTGACGATGTAGGACTAGATTCGACTTTTGGTAGATGAAGACTAATGAGAATTTCTCACCACGTAGGTCTTGCGTCTGCAAGCTCTCTTAGATGAGGGTTTGAAACGGGAGGAAATCGAGGACAACGAGGTATTGGGGATGCTCCGCACGGCTTCGCTCGAGGCTCGGGGGAAAAACTACCGCAACGCTGCTCGATTCTGGCTTCAAGTCGTGGAGGCGAAACCCAAGGAATTCGCTGAGGGAGTCACCTTCCAAGTGAGTTCCTCGACTCCGCTTCCCCTGCGGAATACCCGGTCGCCCGACTTCTCGAAGGCTTACAGCGAAGGAGCCACTCAAGAGACGGATCTTTTACAGGCTGCGCATGAGAAATTGATGGCTCTCGGAAGTCTACTCGAAAAACTCGATGAAGTGAACTTGAACGAAGGAGAGGAGGGCGGTCGGGGTGAAAGCCCCTTCACTTCATCGGTTGGTGAGAGTGAACCCGCATCCGATCATCAAGCCAGCCCTCAACCCAATCAGCCGTCAAAGTGTGAGAACAGCAACAAGCAACAGGATGAGGTTTCCGACAGTCCGACCACCGAAGATCCGTCGACCCCGAATAACGGCATGGAAAGTCAACGAGCTGCAGAGGCTACTCCACGTCACCAGGAGACGCAGCCTAACATTATTCAAAACAGTCAGCAACACCTCCCACCGCGACCTCCCGCAGTGGTCCCTCATGCAACAGTGAGTTCACGCTCCTTAGTCCTCTTCCCTAATCCCATAAGACAACTGAAGTCCAAGTCGCTGGATAGAGGATTCCTCGCGCCCCGATAGAATTCGTATTTTCTCTCCGAAGGTGGCCGTACCCGAACATCCCCATCATCAAGGTGGACAGCAAATCGTGATTCCCGGCATTAGTCTTTACTCCGTCTCCCCAGTACAGCCGGGTGATGATGCTATCCAATTCGGTTCCGTAGAACACGTCGTTCATCATCCGGCCGTGGTGCATTCGATCCCCGCAACTGCCCTGGCACCAACGGAGATGCCGAGCCCGAACTCCATGTTTGTAGACCGTGAATTCGATTTCATCCAGGACGACCTCACCATTCATACTCCTGTCCATCAAACGGCCGCCGTCCATATGGATCCCGCTGTGGTGTACGCTGCTGGTGCGACTGTGGGACATTACGACGCTCATTACCATCAGTTATTGCAGTTCCAGCATTCTCAACAGCAACAACAGCAGCAGCAGCAGCAGCAACAGCAGCAGCAGGCGGAACAACATCGAACGGCGTCTCAAATGCAAGCTCAAGCCCACGCGATGAACAATGGCAACAGTGAGTCCCTGAAACAACAGGAGAACGGAGAAGGCATCATGAATGGAGAGGAACGATCGACGAAGGCAGGAGCTGCTGCCGGGTCCGCTGCGATCCAGGTCAAGGAAGCGAGTCGAAACGGATACTCTGGACGCGAAGACAAGGAACGCAGATCTCCTCAGGACAACCACCGACACAGCCGGGGTGGTGAACACGAAGGCGGAAAAGGCGGTTTCTATCGCGGCATGAACGGGAACAAGGGTGGATACAACGGCGATAGTAACAACAACAATAATGGTCGCTGGACTGGACATCGAAGCGGTCATTGGAACAACAGAGATCGTCGCGAAGGTGGTTACAACGGCAATGGAGGCGGATATGGGAACGGACACTCGCATTCCAGACACAGCAACGCGTACGGCGGAGGCAACAACGGGAATCCCCGGAACAATTCGGCGCGACGAGAACCAACTGCCCAACGAGTCTGATAATCTAGCGTCGATTCCAACAATCGACCCGAGGTTCACGAGCTATTTCTGAGACGATACGATCGATGTGCTTTTGTAAACCAATCAGTTACGATGAAAAACAGCCAGAACAACAACAACGATGATGATGACGGAAGCTACGCCAAACACTCGAGCAGCAGCAACAGAAGCAACAGCAGTAGTATGTAGTAATCAACAATCACAGCCACGACGTGAAAACGACAACAATAGCTGTAGCAAAGGTTGTTCAAATGAGCAGGAGTATTAAAGCCGAGGAGGAATAGGAGCTGTGGAGCGAATCCGATTGGTCATCAGCTACACCGAGGAGCCCGCGAGGTTTCTTTTAGCATTAAACAATTCCTCGGCGAGAAGTGAGAGCTGGAGGATTCGGGAAGCTTCGTTCATCGTTCTTCTTCACAACTTCCGAAGAGCTCCTCCGAGCACCCATTCTAATCAGCATAGAGCCATCGAAAGGACATGATGAAGTACTATAATTGTGGTCGTAGATAAGTTGATTATCGGTATTACGGACACAAATATGAGAATCCTATCTTCCCCCATTGGCACGACTGCTCCGAGAAATGTATCTGCGGAATGCATGAACGCTACAGCGACGGGGAAGACGAGCCTCGTCCTTGGGCGACTCTTGCGATGAGCAAATTTCGGTGGGCGAGCTCTTCGGCGGGAACCAGCAGCGAATCAGAATCGCCTCTCTGCCACGACGAGCGTCGATTCGCTCTATTCTGGATCACTAGAGATGTTCTCCACGAATTGGTTGATTCAGTTGGCCGGTTTCAGATCCTGCGGATCTTGCTTTTTTTGAGCCGGCCGGGCTCCCCACATTCAAAAGTGAAAACTTATAATCGTTGATCGACTGATGCACAAGTCTGCGGCGGAATGGAGTAGCGGGTTCTCATCAAGCGACTTTGCGTCTGTCGAACGAGTGGAACCACACGAACACAATTGCTTCAGCAACAATCCGAACAACATGTTGTATTATTAACTTATTACCGCGCGAACGAGTGGGATGTAACATCATGTAAAGAGTTGTTAGGTTTAAAGATAAAATAAATACAGCCTAGGTATAGTTGGATTGATGAGCGTTGAAGATGGGACGGAGTGTTTACGGTGCTCGCTTTGTCCGGCTGGTGACTTCTCTCTAAGGACGTGTCATGAACGAACCTGTTTCCGATAAATGAGGAATCTTTCCATAAAACGTCGAATCATTCTAGATGGGGAACTGAGAGGTGCGAGCATAAACGCTCGGAGTTTCCAGAATGACGCTCGATATCAGTGGTTTCCGAACTCGCTTCCGTAGGAGCCCGGAGTTCCGACGGTCTATTCGAAGTTTCCGCAAACGGGATTCGGACCAGGATGGTCTTCAAGGATTCCAGAATATCTCAAGTTCTGAGTGGAGCCTATCGAATTCTCTTGTGCTTCTGATGATAATCTTACTGGACTCCGCAACTCATTCATCGTCACTCCGTCGTTCGGAGACCAGTCTGTTCCTCCGACGGTCCTGGAATCTGGTCGAGGGTAAGGAAAATCCTCGACGTACGGCTCGTCAATAATCATGAGGCCGGACCATCCACACGAGTCACGGTGTCGTCTAGTCTCTCCGGATATTTCGAATGCTTCGGAGAAGTGAATCTGCTGTTCCACGAACGGTTCAGTCTGAAATGGCCGCCCGAGATATACTGGTCGACGACTTCCTGGGAGAAAAAATCCTGTCGTGTTTCCATTCGATTAAGGAGTATTCGCGAGAACTTTCAGTCATCCTTGGTGGGGTCGGAGACGATCAATTTTACTAACGAGATACAATTCCTTAGATGACTCGAGACTGCGACAGGCGAATTAGTCGATTGATGTCGGGGCTGAGCATTCGACGTATATCCACTTTGGCCTGTCAATTGCTAGTATGTACATGCCCATTCTTAACATCTTTCTGGTCGATAAGGCAACCACCTCGATCCCTTCTGCCGCTCCTTGATCACTCCTCGCTTTCCCTCTCTTCTTCGCAAATCAGTATGAGCGCGAGAGGTTAACACTCTATTCTGTTCCAAGCACGGCGAGCCCCGAGTTCTCGCTTTCGAGATATCGGAATAGACCAGGACCATCATACAAATGTAGAGGCCATGGTGATCGATCGTCCAGCGGATCGAGACTTGCCTACTAGATCCCTCGAGCTCGTTGAAATATTTGAATGCGTTGCTCGCCTTGCCTGCTCACGCTCGTCGCTCTTAGAGTCGGATAAATTCCGACAATGGATTGGAGACGTCTCAATCTACAGCTGATCATGAATGCATCATCACGGATCACGAATAGGGATTCTCCATCAAGTTGAAAATCGTCAACTCTGTTTCCTCGAAAATTATTTATTTCATTGCTTTTGTTCGTCGACTCACCAAGCTCGGTTCTTGGACAGATCCCTATCAACAACACTTCATGTACATATTCATAGCTTTGCGAAACGAGAGCGCTTTTATGTACAGAAAATATGGTAGCCCGAATACCATCACGGCTCTTCAATGTCGGCCCTCTTATTCCTTGAGTATTCCGCGAGTAGGATGAATCGATGTTCCGAGGTCGATGCATTTTGAACAAGTCCGGGGATGACGTCCGCAGATACTCAAAAGTTCATCCAGAAGATATCTCGCTCAATCTAAAACCTCTTCTCGGAATATAAAAGACCCTTTTCTACGCGAAATTTGAAAGCTCCGGCGATTCCGCCACCACTTCTCCGGCGAGCTTTATATGGAATATGACGAATCCTGGTAGGAACCTACTGTACAACGATATTCGCGATATCTAGACGCCTATCGGGACTTCTGTACTTCTTGCTCATCCAGCTCTATTGTGGTATTTTCTCTCGATTCCTTGGCTGTTTCCCCATTAGGCAAGCCGTCGAACGATCTCTCCTCATGGAGCAGACTATCCCTGAGTTTCCGCAAGTTATTTATCCATTCACGGCACTCCGGTATGAATGAGCGCAAGTGGACGTATGAGAGGATGACATTTTTCAGGAGAAACACCGAAACGTCTTCGTTGAAGTACGTCCACAGGTAAATCCGGATCACAAGGAACGGTGTGTTGATGATGAGAAGATAAGCCAACCGGTACATCAGCTACGGAGAACAAAAATCAAGATGAGCGTTCACCCTGTACTCCTGGACCCGAATCGAAAGGTCGATGGATGAGGAAAAAAGAAGGATTTCCCCGACTACAGGGACCGATCTGGGACTCCGAAGGCAATCGCGACACTCCTCTGATCTCACCTTCATTCCCAGCGATTTCGGTGACTTGCCGAAGTCGCTGCGAGCCAACTTATACAAAGCGAGTGTCGGCAAGAGCAACGAAGCACATGTCAATCCTAGAACGAGGTCTTCAAGCTTGGAACGATATTGCGGATTGCATTGGTTCGGGAACAGGAGACTCAGGAAGGCGACAGCATCCAATATCTCCAGGCTCGAATCTGCGATTGGGGGAAAGAACTCTATCAAGTTTGCACTACATGAGACCTGGGCGAATTAGTATCAGCGATCTAAATGCGTAGCCGGGTCTTACAAGAAAGCGCGTAGGTGATGTAAGCCTGCTGAGGAGAATCCGTGAGAGCTTCGTGGTGACTGTCGACGAGGAGCGTGAAAACGATGGCTGCGCATCCGATGACCAAAGTCAGAAAGGTTGAGCCGTACCTGCGAACATCGATCACGTTATGCTAGCTCATAGACCTCGGGAGCGTGACGGAGCCCACATTGCGATCCTTATCAAGAGGAACAGCGCGAGACGAGCTCCATATTCGCATCGGAGAACGTTGACCGATAAACCGTGAGCTGTCTAAAGCCGACAATGAGTCTTAGCAGCCGACTCCAGATGCCTGATGCTAAGTATCTTCCCCGTTTCTCTATTTTAAGTCGTCTCTTCAAAAACTATTCCGGGAATCCACACCGAGGATGCAAAGTCTGAGGGGAATGAACGCCGAGCGAGGCGGAGGACCAGGGATTTGCTAGACTCGCGCTAATGCTGGCTTGTCAACCAGACGCGGTCCCCTCCCTGAGATCGAAGCAACCTCCAGGATATCATACGACGAGCTCTTGACAGAATTCAATTCGAGAAACAGCCGACGGGGACAGAACACGCCTTTATTTGATCATGACATCATCAAGCGGGAGACATTGATCTCGCGACGACGAATGAAGTCTGAAGGCTCAGACAAGGGTATTCCCGGGGAGACATACCACATATCGATGGAGTCATTATAAGAACAGAACATTGCGAACGCTCTCCACTCACCAGGCCTCACTAGGAATGTTGACTGCGATGTCCATCTGTATCAAGAGCACAATCTTCGCGATCAGCAATGCAGAGTACAGGAACCATGAAATGTAGCTGAATGGGAACAATCCGACCCATTTATACGTCTGATCCTGGAACAGGGCGTCGGGAATAGAAGACGGGGGATCGACTTCACTGTGATAGAGGGACTACGCCAACTTCTTAGCGCTCCCACCCACCTCATGCGTCACCGCTGGTGCCGTTGTCGAAGTTGTTGCCGAAGCCTGTAGCCTGCTCCGTGCATGATGTCTCCGAGCGAGAAAGACCGCGGTCATCATCACGATCAAAACCGCGAAGTCGGCTAGGAACCAGAAATACCATCCATTCCCGTTCCCCTCCATGCGATTGATGAGAAAATAGTTGAGAGTCGATCCCTGAATGAATGAAAAACATCAGAGATTCTCCCAGCATTCCGATGGATATGTCGTTCCGAAGGCGGATACGATAATAATTTTTCTCCCGGGGAGAGCTCCTTCTCGGAAGAAGGAACCACGACGGCGGAAGAATATCTCTTGCGCAGTTGCAGAGCTCTCCGAGGATCGGAATAGAAGTTCATTCGACTTCAAGGGTATCGAGGACCTTCATATTGAGGATTATTGCGAGCTCGATTGAGCACGACCATGAGCTGAATACGAAAATTTTTGATTGCCCACCAGGAGCTCGGATATCGCGCTTCAGGCAGAGGAATATGAGCTGACATCGGAGAGTGGTTCCCGGTTGGCGGAAAATATCAGTATACAAAATAAAATCATAAATTATGCAGCAAACGATGATCACATATTGATCGTATGAGTTTGACTTCGCACAGTTTGGAGCTTGGTTCGAGGGGCGTTGTCTCTGGTTGAGTGGTCAAGTTCAAGGCTACCATAGCTGAACCCGACAACATTGGAGTCCTCTCCGAAGTACGGTGCGAAATCAGAAACGGCGAGTTCTCACCGCTCACAAGGTCTCACTGGATCAAACCGTCAGTCCGGTTAGGTATACATAAGCCGGGGAAACTGGATTGAGTACGGAGTTCCGGCCTGCGAAAACAAAGGTATGGAAAGACTGGTCGGACTCACCTGGAGAATCAACACGATAAGCAGGCCTAAGATATCTGCACATTTTAGAACTCTAGTCAATGAACATCCTTCGTTTCCCCGTACCGCACGTAATGCTTCGCAGCAGCCCTGGAAGAAGGGATAATTCGAATCACGCATCCAAATGAGCCAGCTAACCTGAACCTACGAGGAATCTCCCTCCTCGAAAACGTCGCAAATCATCCCTCGATAGACACACCACATCTGTAGGCCGACGAGAACCATCGCTGAGCACGTCCGGAGAAAGCGATAGTTCCGCCGGTTCACAACTAATGGGTTCTAGACTAATGACTCCGACATCGTCGGTCTGCCTTCTCGAGCTCATCTCGACTGGGAAATAATAATCCGTCAGCTCCTAAACTTCCCAGCTTGCGATTCTGCGATGACTCGAACGGATTTTAATCCGGTGCTCCTTGAATTAGGAGGTTCTATCAGCGGAGACCGATATGGCTCATTCCATTGGTCCCGGAATTCACCGACAGCTTTTCCGAGATTCCATCGGTGTCGACGAGTGCGAATCGCGATCTTTCATATGCTGGATCGCTGCTCGGTATCATGAGACGGATCGAAGATCTGTCGATCGTCGGCGAGTTTTTTTGACGAAGAAGAATACCTGTATTTCGTTGAAGTAGTTCTGGTCCTCGATGCAGCAATTTTTGTAGATGCTGTCGAACGCGACCATTTTGGCGAAAAAATTGTGGTGTCGGACCTGCTCACGATTCTTGGGACGGAACAACACCCAGTGTCCCAGAGACCACATCAGTTCGAGATATCCCATATCAGGCCGGGAGGCTAGGACGCATTCAACGATGCCCCATAGTCGGAACTCGGAGTATCAGAACTGGTCGCAGATTTGGTAGTTCCAGAGATCGGCCCTTCTTTCGATCCGAGGGGATTTCACTAGTCAGTCACATGTCAATGGATCAAGGGGCTCCGTTCCTATCACATGTTCGCCGGTCCTCGAGCACACGAGTACTGATCAGTTTGCGTCGTGCAACTGGGACAGGCGAGCTGACAAGTCATGCAGGAACTTCCGACCTGGACAACTCAAGAAATCAATGCGTCTTCCGGAAAGGGAAGCCTCAGTGACCCAATTGCATTCCCGAGGGTCCGATCGCATAACACGAAACAGCACCGGCTCGATGCCCTACTTCTGGAACGCTATGCAGCTCTGAGGGCCGCAGCCTCCAGCAGAACTTCCGTGTGAAGTTTGCCGTCACCACAACAGAGCGGATTCCGCCTCGCCCACACGTTGCCCCAGAGGGGAGAGGGTACCCACTTCAGTCGGAGACCCTCAGTTATGTCATAACACGTTCTTTTCTCGGACAGGACGAGCGTGCTCTCATGGCCGTCGCATACGGACGCTGACGGCGTGACTTGGCTTGAGCGAGCTCGGACTCACGGGCAGATTCATCCTGGATTACAAAAGCGGAAGATCACCCCCCGACGAAGCTTAAGCATAACTCTTTGAGAGGTTTCCATAATGCGTTCGCGGTAGGAGTCGTCGTTGTCGCTCTTCCCCCCACAAACACAATGAGCTGCAGCATTTGACCTCGCTTGACCATGAATGCGCAAGGTCGTTCTAGAGGAGAGAACGTGACTCGCGTGGGGTACTCAGTGCGTCACTACGGGTCGCTCATGGGCCGTGAATCGCACGGGGATAGAATCTCCGGTGAATGGAATTTTAAATAACAATGCGATGATCGTCGAGCTCCTACACAGTTTGCTGGGAGAACGATCCCCTAGAAAACCAGAAAATAGGGAAGGAACCGGAAAATAGAGAATCCCGCCTTGATTCGACCAAGGCCTCTTCTATCGGATATTTTCATCTTTATCCGTCGTATTACCTCATTATATGAGAGTTGAAGAGTGATATAGTCACAGACCAGAAAAGTCTCAGCGACAATGGAGCGACAACACTGATCGATATACGATGAATCAATTCCACCAGGGCTCACAAATGTGGTGTTCCTCGAAGTGACACGTCTATGTTCCGCAGGAAGACCTTCGCTACCTTTGATATCGACAAGAAGTTTCTCGGAAGCGTTCGGAATTCAGCGGAGCCACTGACGATGACTAGACCGGAAGTTGAGATGATTTACATGAGCTTGAAATCAGAGAATCGACCCGAGAGTCTGATATGTGAGCTCCTTCCCTGCCTGATATCTCCGTCGAGAGCATCGATCGCGGTCGCTAGAATATTCCAACAGACATAGAACACGTCGTTGAATAATCAAAATGTTCTGCGCATCGACCCGAAGATGATGATCATGGTGGATTCTCATTCAGATATAGCCTCAACCGAACAAGATCTGTGAAAGTTCTTCCGGATCGGGATGTGTTTTGCATCAGAGACTTTTCTCGCTCGGCAAACGAAGTTCTGATCCCTCGACCCCTATCTGTCCCGTTCCGCTGTCTCGGTCAGTGGATTTATGAGCGAGCCGAGTTCAATGAATCTCCAAATTAGAATGATCCAATTCATTCTTCCCCAGGAAGCACCGGGAACAGATGTGTTCTGAGACTAAGACGAAATCCATCGCAGGGGGAAATTGAGCTCCCGATCCGCGGCTCTTCTGATCCACGCTCTATCTGCTGTCACGAGTTTTCATACTATCTCGCGAGTGTCAGCTCAAGACGCACAATTCGCGTGTTCGAACAGAATGCTCTCCTGGATGGGCTGAATATTGACCGAGAAGAGCTTTATTGTCAATCGAATCGAACGGAGGACGTTCCACGTTCCACACACATGAGGTCAGCTAGTCGAGCGCACAAATCGAAGCGGAAGTGTTCCTGCGACCGACACAGTCCAGTTTTCTGACCGACTTAGGAAAGCTGGAACGGCAACCGACGGGTCTTACGTAATGGTCACGCACGCATCGAACTGGGTTGCACTGGGGAAGGGAAACGAACTCGAGAGGATCGTATTCATCGGTCAGCGGGCGATAAGAAAAAATCATCCGGATATTGAAAACGGAACAACGACGTATTTTCGCTCTCTGGATATTCGAGAAATCTTGGCGGTATCTCACTCAGCAGAATGTCGGCTGTGAACGATTGATCTGATCCCGTGAGAGGCACATCGCGTGCTGATGCATCGGAGCCGATGAGCATCAATCGGAAACCAGATTTCGAATCGAGGAAAGCTCATGGCACTCTTTTGTTTAGCCGACGACTTCACACATCCAGCTACAACTGATCACATGACAACCAGCTTCTCTAGGAGTCATCGAACATTTGAATGCCAACGCCACTGGATCGCGTCTGCATGGCGACCTCTTGTGAGTCGTTCCACGGGTGAATTCCGCGGGTACTCCGCTGCTCTGACTGACGAGAGCCCTCCATGGACTCTCCAGAGTTTAGAGGACTCTGCCTTCCAGACGAGAATTGACTGAGATCCCGTATCGGGCTGCTTGCACTGACTTACATGCAAACTGAGGTTGATGCCCCGACGAACACCGAGGCTGCCGGAGTTGTTTGACCTCCCTGAGAGAAGTATTCATGCGTACGCGAGCGTTCACGGATGCGGTAAGTTCGTACTGCAGTCCGGATGACTCCGTTATGAGCGAATTCGTTTGGGTTCATTGAGATTCCGCTCCCGCCCGGCTCGTGAGCCGACCTTCCAGCCTCGGCGACAGCAAGCGGAGAAGAAGAGCGGCTATCCCAAGATCCGGGGAGCCGGGCAGCCATCGACCCCTTCTTCCACGAACGAGGCAACGACACTTGGTGCCAGCGGAACAGTTTTTCTGCTTCTGATGCCCACTCGGACACCGCCTCCCTCCGCGCTGCTTCGGTTTTTATCACGGAATGATTTTCGTCCCCTGTCCCACTTCTGCAGAAACCTACACTTAGATCTCAGATCTAGAACTCCTAGAAGTCCAACATTTCTTCCCTAGTCGAACGGTGAATGAAATTCAGGTCTTCGACGTCCCGGTGCCCGGCTTGGATGTTTCCGATCCGGAATCCGGCAAAGAATCTATATACCCTGGACATACGTTCTCGCTTTTTCCAGATCACGACACGACGGGATGATGAACGGCACGCATTGATCCCCCGGATCGAAAGCGACTGCGACGCCGCACGCTCGTTCTGGTCGGTGAGGATCGATGTACGCCTTTCACGGTCATGGCAGTTTTCTGTCCACAGCCAAGCGTGCCAAACAATGAGATCGAGTCCCTTTCTATCCGGGCGACTTCGGAGCTGTCAAGTTCGGGTCGCTTGGAGCTCATGCTCCGGTTCTCGTGGCGGAAACGGGAAATCGGTCGTCGGAAATCGTCGGAAATTTTTCGGGGAAAAACCGAGAGATATGACAATCTACACGTCTCGAGGAGGGCAAAGTATTGACACCGTCGGAGGAGGAGCCGACGCGCGTTAGACTTGAGGAAGCATATCCGGGAAAGACAAAAATCTTGAAGGAGGAAATTCTGGTTTCCCCGTCATATTCATTCGATTTATAGGGCAAAACAGAAACATAGAGTTCAGCAGTCTCGGAGCCGTCCCCGATGATTCGCTATTTTTCCTAGGAGCGTCGGAAACCTGTCAGAACTCCAATATGAGGAAAATGCGAAATTTTCCTTTGTATTAGGAACGAGAAAGAGCTCCGGCAAAGATCACCATACCCGACGGATAGAGCTTCCCTTTTTCGAAGCCTGGAGGAGATCCAGAGCTTTCTGAGGGGTTTGCAAGATCAGCTGATTTACAGAGTGAAGTTCTCGGAGGGATATTGTCGCCAGGATCGAGCAGCGTGACTGGTTTCGTCGGAGGACTCAGGGAAATGAGCTTATTTCGCGCCAGCGATGGAAGGATACACCATGCTCTATCACGAACATGCACTACAATCCTCTTGATTCATTTGGAAAACGGATCCTGACGATCGTACTCATATAGGATTCATCGTACACTTCTATGCCTTACCAGAGGGCTGCTGCTTTCCGTGTAGTAGTCATTCATTGAGTTGTCGAGCGGTCACTCACGAGGAGCCTCACAGCGGTGCGCGAGATAAACAGAGTTTCAGAGAAGCACGATGAATTATTTACAGGTTTATGTCTCGCATCGTGCGTGTTGCACCAATTCGGATGAGTTAAACTTCAGGCCGAAAAACTCGGCTCCGCATAACTTGCCGACGGGGAACTTCACCAGGTGTTCTCAGTTTAATGAGTCAACTGTTGCCGACTTCGGCGTCGACGATCACTTTCTCACTCTCCTCGTCTCCCTTGCTTGTTCTCGGTCTATGTCTCTTCGAGAAGATCGGTTGCCTGGATACGCTTGCTAGCGACTCTACATTCGTCGCCGCCGCGCCGCCGCTGCTACCGCCAGCTCTCTGCTCGCCCAGTTGCTGCTTGCGGACCAGCAACAACAACACTCCCCGTTCGCGGGTCTAGTCGAGAGAATTCCGTTGTTGCCTCGGGAAAGGAAGGGAATCCAGGAGAGAGAGAGAAAACGCGTGCTAGTCGTGTCTCCGCTTTCTGACCGGTCGTTCGACCACCTGGATTCCGCTTATCGAAGCTCCGATCACGGATTCATTTTATTGACGACATCTCAATCTGGGGAGAAAAGAATCGAGTCCGAAACTAGCGCATGGCTCGCTGGAGGGCAGAGACTCAAGTCAGACTGTCTTCGATCGTTAGTCGTGAGAAATCGGTGATCCCAGCTGTATACTCCGTGCAAATCTAGATCGATGCACTGGTCTTGAATGTCGGGGTAGATTCTGTGAAAGTCTCGTCTTCTGTTGTCTTTGATAAACGTCGAAGCCGAGTCTGTCCGGACCGTTCCCTACGAAGTCTCATTCCCATTCTCCTCGATCACCCGGTGCTGCTGACTGCGAGCGGATACTTCGTCCTAATCTTCGATCACCGATGGGGCTCATTCTCCGATCCTTCGGAGCATCAGCCGTCCCAGAGTCCTTCAGAGTCGAATGATCGCTCTACCCTTCAAATCGATTTTTTTGCGGTCTTCCCGACTGGTAGCAATCTCCAATGATTCTGAGTCGACATATCTGATCTTTGCTCAATGATTTCCCGAAGAAGAGCGATGTGCTATCCAGGGCTTTTTTCTCGCCCGGTTGACCACGTCTCGGAATCCCGGGGGACATGAAAGCATGAAAATGGCTTAATTCCGAGCAGCTGAAGGTTATTCCTCAGGAACGGCTCCGAAAGCTCGAGCGCGATGCTATCAGTGGAGGGCACTCTATGACAGTCCTCCCGCTCGCGGCATCGTTTGTGGGTTGTGGGCAGCGAATGTTTCTCTCGATTCCAGCTCTGGGTATCTCAGAATTATTTGGAGACTAATCCTCAGCATGATATTCGGCGGGATGCGCGTTCCCACAGGATCCGCCGGTTCGCGGTCACGTTTGGGGAGTCCCATGTTTTCAACGTTGAGAAAGGGAACTTGGGGAAGGGCATGTAGACGCGTGGTCGTCGTCCGGATCGGTCTATCAACACGATCATCTGTTCCCGGTCTGTCTTTTGTGGTGAAGCCTCACGGCAGGCTCTCCGGTAAATTGAAAAAGGTAGTGTTTCTTTTTAATCTCCCGGAAGAGTGTAGAAGCGATCTTCAACCCGAGTGCTGTGCTGGAGATACAAGTCATCGATACCATGAACAGAAAATTGTGTTGGACGTCAGCGACTAACTGAGCAGGTGGGGATTTCTGACAGGATTAGAGACGGTCGGAGTGTCTGTTATAACGAAGTGAGCATGCCAGAAGTCACGTAATAGATCGGCGACTGGAATCGATGAGAGGGGCTCCGTATATTTACGCTCTGATCGAGGAATGAGACGAGTATTCAAAGCGTCAGTCAGAATTCGATAACAATCGAGTTTCATTCACGGATCGACATCGTTCAGGATCAAGTCCTCGGAAAATGCCTCGTTGTAATGATTTTCTCCGTTTTCGCTCGAAATTGCGCAGGTTGCCACTCTGACGAACACATGGAGTCTCAGATAAAAAAATCCTCAACACCAAGAGATTCACACCAACTGGCCAGTGCGGGGGCGGCTGTATCAATCAGGGAGAAACCTACGATACCGATAATGGTCAAGTATTCGTCAAATCCAACTTCAAGGACGGCGCGAAACAGATGTTCGAAGGTGAGAATAATCCGCCATGCGAAGCCGTTCTGTGTGGCGGGAGAAGGCCCCATCGCTGTGCCAGGGCTCTCATTCCCAAAGATGTTCTTTGAGATCCGATCCGTGGATATTCCATTTCCCTTTTTCCAGGAGAATTCGCCTCCTTAGAAGCTATCCGCGCCACCGGTGCTGTCCGCGTACCGAAACCCTTGCACGTGGTGGTATCAGAGACCGGCCATGGTGCAGCCTTGGTAATGGAGGCTCTCGACATGGTCTCTTGGGAGAGGAACCCATATGACCTCGGTCGTCAACTTGCCAACCTCCATCGACACAATCAGATTTTAATCGAAAAAAGTAAGGCCCTTTCTGAGGCAGCTCGGCCCTTTTTACGTAGATTCCTCCGTTGTGGAACGTCAAAGACTGATCCGCGGGTGGGCACAGGGAGAGCTCCTTTTGTCCTAAAAATTCAATACCGAAATGAAAAAAACGCGGTAGCACTCCATTCTCAAGAACAAGTAGACAAACGCCCACATTACAAGCGTCCAGAGGGAAGACGCTAACGACTCGTCTTCCCACCTGACGGAACAGGTGTCCCGAATTCTTTGCACGGAAATAACCCACGGCAGGTACAACGCGAGCATCTCTCCGGAGCGAGGTCATGGGGAATCCAATTCCGTTATCGGTTCGGACCACCTCCTTTCCGCCGAGAAAAGATAAGGGGAGCTCTCGACCTTTTCGCGATCAGGACCAAATTAAGAAATTCCATGTGTTTCAGATGACCCCTCGGCGGTCCGACGCTTCGGTTTCCATATAACAACGTGCTGCGGATTTTTGCCATTGGATAACACTTGGAAAGACGATTGGATAGACTTCTACGTTAATAATAGAATCGAACCTCAGGTAGGGCCTTGCGACGATACAGGAACTCCTCTGAAAACTGAACTGCCATCTGTCTGGCTCTACTATAGCCATCCTTCCGCAGATCAAGTTGTTGGAAAACAAAGGCGAAGACACAGGAATCCGGGAGATATGGGCGAGAGCGATTGATGACTTGCCCCGTCTCTTCGAAAATGTATCGGTAATTCCGTCGCTTCTCCACGGCGACCTCTGGTCCGGGAACACAGCAGAGGTATGTTTCTCACGGAACACAGAAGATCGCTCAGAGCCACATCTGTAGGCGTCCAGTTGAGAGACTCAAGATGGCAATCTTATTCCAGGTGGAGGGAGAGCTTGTCATTTTCGATCCGGGGAGTTTTTATGGACACTCGGAATTCGATTTCGGTATAATCAAAATGTTCGGCGGCTTCAATCACAGCTTTTACGATGGATACCGGAAAGTTATACCAGAGGAAGAAGGATTCGACGGGAGGTGTGATCTCTACGAGTTATTCCATCAGTTGAACCATTGGAATCATTTTGGATCCGGATATAAGCGATCATCTATAGAGTTGCTGAGAAGATTATCCGATCAGGATGTCTGATCCGCTGAGAATGATCATTGAACAAAGGAATCGGGACACATGTTTGTCTCATACGTCCCGATGCCAATCAATGCGCCGCCGGCTCCGTGGAGCGTGTCGCATTTCACTTCACGGTTGCCTCAAATCGCCTCCATCAGGAACACAGCTTGAAGGATTTCACGATACCTCACTTGTCCTTTCCAAGTTAGATCTCATAAGACCGGCCGAGGTATGGATTCATACTGATCGTATCGAACCCTCGCGATTTGCCTTCGCCTGATCTTTGCATTTGTCTGTCGTGGAACAAGGTGTTGTCGCGTCGCATTTGTGTATGTTTGCTTTTGTGAGCCTTGTCCTCCTTCCGGGTTCTCTGGCAGGACAGCCTGAAGAATGTCGAGGGCTTGCTCCTCACCTACCCCCGAAGTGAAAACAGGGGGAATGCGAAATCCTGCGGTCGTAAATTACATCATTTTTTTCTTCAAACTCTTTAGTATTAAATCAATCTCTCTCCTTACTTCCTATGGAGCACGTGAAACCCGCAAGGTGGATATCCACGATCCAATCAGTATAAATGCTACATTCGCTCGGTGCTTCGTTTGGCAGGTCTGATAGCGAATCGGGAGCGGCCAGTATTCAAATGCTCAAGTTCAGGAGCGGAATGTACAAATGCATGAATGTGTATATTCTAGCTGAGAGTGAAACTCATCGGATCCGGGGCGATGACCCTCCTAATTATTTACAGCAGTCCTCCTATCGATAGGAAGCATATTGTCCTTATCTGGAGTCTGAAGGACGGAACCTCTGTACAAACATCGGATATGTCTCCCGACTAGCCGCGAAGGCGTTCTTCGTTCTCTCATTCGACGAGCTCCGCGTATATCTGCAGGGTCATGCAGGATCGGGGATTGAGAATTTCAGCACTCTGCGTGACGAAAAGCAAGGTGTCGAGTCCCCACATTCCTGTGGTTCTCCCACTCGTTTCTAAATTTGCATAGATATACTCTTCCCATCCTGAGACGTCAGAGGAAAATCACGCGGCCGGCGTGGATCGTCACAAGGCGGCTGACGAGTGACTGACCAATTTCGCTAGCGTCAACATGAGCAGGAGAGACATAGACTTGAGGGCCACTGACGAATTGCAGCCGTCCTTTGAGTTACAAGTGCAGGTCTCGATGAAAACGTCGAAGGTGCCGGTACGCATCAAGCAATAATTTTCGTCGCCGTGGCCTTCGCCGGGCTCTCCCAGATATGCACAAGATCGAATGACCCTCCAGTTTCCGTTCACCTGTCGCATAGAGAAAATCATCAACGTTTTCGAACGCTACTCAAGCATTGAGACAAAACTCATATAGAGACGAGAATCGAGGCTTCAATACGTCAGGACACCCCGCCCCCTCCTTCTCCGGAAACGAGCCGGAAGAGCAACGAACCTTTTGGCGAACCTTGCGGCACATCGTGGCAATCAAATTGGGAAGATGAGGCAGATACCTCCTGTTGCATTCAGTGATGGGGAGAGTCGTGTTGTCGAATGGGTCGGCGCATAGCGGATCGGCGTGGCTTTTACATTCCCAACATTTGATGGCGTCACCTAGAATAATTCGATCAACACGATTTCAGCTCTTGTGTCTCACCTCAGTGGCTCCGTCGTGAGACATCGAAATGAACGAACACGCTCCGCACCGAGGGAGGCACATGCCAGAGTGCTCGGAATTCATGAGATATTCGGCATAAACTGTTTTCGAAATCGAACCCGCGGACTCATTCCGGTCAGCGGACTTGGTTGACGCACGCGAGGGTAGGGTTTCCCTGGCTAGCCTCTTCTCTAGGCCCGCTCAATAGCTGGTCATTCTCCTCATCCAGCCACATTCGATAGCTTGCGAAAGATGTCGAAGTTGACGCGGAGCGGAGAACTCCTGAACCCGGAAAGCTCGTCGCCGATTCGAATATAGCTCGCTGTCAACTCCCAGCGAGTGCTCCGCCCATAGAACGCATGGCGGTAGGGAAATCGATGGTACATAGTATCGACGGCATCCGGTCGCGGAATGCGTGGATACGCTTCGAGTATATTTACTTACCCATTGCGATAAACAACGCGCTGATGAGAACACCTTGGATCAAGTACGACATGGTTGCGCTTATGAGTTCGATCCCGAATCGAGACGGAATTAAGGCAAAGGATTGTATCCTCGGAGAGCCTGATTCTTCGAGATCCGCGACCCGCCGTCGGGGGTTCCTGAGTGGGATGCGAGGGGAGCAAATCACAAATAAGAGCCCTGAACTTCACAATTCAGCAAACGGATCGGAAGAATCTCTTTTAGCGTGGCACTCATCATGAATCTGTCCAAAGCGTTGGGATCGAATCACGAGCCGTTCAAATGGCTCAGCGCCTCTCGGGCGAACGTCGAGCAGAAAATCCAAACAGAAAATGGAAGCAGCGGTGAGGCGCCACGAAGTACTAGTAAAGGTACGCATGCGCCGTCGGTGTCACCGGCCGCTTCGGCGTCAAAGGCACGGTCGACGCTGTCGTTGCCGTCGCCGCTGTTGATGTTGTAGACCGACGGACCGGCTGGTCCACCCGCCCGCCAGTTCGTCCGTCCGTCTGTCGCTGGGTCGCCCAACGGAGAAGACCAAGAGCTAGGTTAGGTTGCCATAGTTGCGTCAACAGAAGCACAAACAGCCGCGCACAATGACGAATGCACGATCCTGTCGTTCAGTCGTCTGTCTCTGCTCATTGTTGACTTCACTTCCTGCCGACAACCCGATGGGCCTGCCCAGAAACAGCCCCGCGATACCACCAGCGTTGTCGGCGTCGTCGTCGTTGCCGTTGCTGTCGGTTCTCTTGGCTGTCTTGCCCACCCGCCTTCCCGCGCGAACCTGCTCGCTCGTTTTTTCGCTCACTCGCTGCCAAGGAAACTGAAATCAATACAAAACGGCAAGTCCGCGAGCGATCCTATGTTCTTAGTCACCGGGCGAATCAGAACTCTCGCTCGTTCGAGACTTCCACCGATTCCCACGCTAAACCTCCGACATCATTCCATCTATTGAAACCATCTCCCCGCTCGGCTTTTCACCGCATAATCGAGTTATGGAGAGGAGATTCCGGCGGGCTTGATTATATTCATGGATTCGCGAGACATTCTCTCGATCAGAAAGAATCATGGTTTCGAGATTCTCCCTTGTCTTGGCTTCAACTGGGGAGCGTATGCTGTTATTTCAGACGTCCGCGGAGAACTCGCTCGGTATGAATAAGCTTCCGCAATGCTCTTCAGATTTTCAGAATGTCCTGACACAAAGGAGTTCGGGGAATACCTGAAAATTATTTCGAATCGATTCTGACGGGTTATAGCGACCTGCAAGCCGACCATCTGCCTCCACCCGATCCTGCTTCGCGCTCAGCATCGCCAGAAAACCGGAACATCGCAATCTCATCGAAGGGGAAAAAGACAACTGAGCAATGATCGAATCGAGGATGACTCGAGAACTAATTCCGGAAAGAATCCCCAAACACACGATCCCCCGTCTGCCAACGCCTAATACTAGGAAGTCATGAGCCTCATCATTCGTCGTCATACCAGACTACGTTTTTTTTATCCCGGCTCCGTGGTGCCCGGGTTGGACTGAGTACAGAAGTCTTCGGTGGAGAAAAACGACCGGAAATTTATACACAACCATGGTTCCAGAACACATCGTACACCCGTAGACGGCGGAACGTAGTTCCTGCGTCCACGACTCGAAGATTCTCGGTACTCGAGCGTTCCCTATTACGGGGACTGGTTTTCCGCGAGAAGCCATGGTCCACGCTTTATTTGAAGAGCGTGAGTCTCTGTACGGTCCAAAGGTCTTTCAGTACGCTTTTGACGGTACTCCGGAGGATCAGAGCCTCGCTGCCCTGATCGTTTGCAGGTCTGTCGATAGCTGCGAGGATTTTCTCGCAAATGTCCATCTGACGCTGGATGCATTCAGCGTCTGCTACTGCTGCATCCAAAAGTGTTCGTCGCTCGGGAAGAGATCGATCTGGAAGTGAGGAATCGTCTCTAAGTTTTCGCAAGACAACCCGAGATCCACGAGCGGATGATCTATGGTGGCGCCACTGCCTTCCGACAGGAAACTCACTAGTGTCCTGATAAACTCGAAGAATTCGGATTTCGATGCCTCTGAGCGCTTTGCGGAGATTCGCCATCGTTTCAGCGATCTTGGTGAGATTTAGGAAACGCTGCGGATGATTCGAGCCGCCTGGAACCAGAGACGGTAGGCGGCCCTCGGCCATAGCGCGGAAAGCAGCCACTTGGTGAGTTTGTTTTTGGACGATCCGACGTGCATTCTGACAAGCGATGCATACATATCTCTCAGGAACATGTTTCTCGTTTTCGAGTCCTGGAAGCCAAGGGAAACCTTGAATCATGGGGACAATCGGTCGAATTTCGATGTTGTTCTTCCAAGGGAGCTGATGGCATCCCCGGAGAGCAGCGGCTCAGCGAGAGCTCAGGATACAAGGCTCTCGAGGTTTCAGTCCCATCCTTCGACCGGAACTCACCGAAACAACTGCCATGTTGCCAACAGAGACAGAGGTCGCACTGCATCATCAATCCACTTTCTTCTTCGACTCCGCACGGACAATGAACCATATCTTTTTCAACCGAAGTGTCCGGGCCTTGCTTCGGGTCCGAAGTCGCCTGACACCTGGGCGGAGTGATGACGGGCTCGTCGTCCGAGGGAATTTCAGTCGGCTTTGCAAGACTGATGTCCTGTTGCTCCTCGGCGTCCTCTTTCTCACCACCGTGACTTCTTCTCCGCTTCTCCTTCTTATCGGCCGCAGCGGGCCCGGCCTCTGTTTTCTGTTTCTTGATGAATGCGGATTCGGCCTCTTGCATCCGCTCGGTTTTCACAACTTTTCGCTTCTCGCGACCAAGCACCAGAGGCTCAGGAATCGGGACGAACCTTTGGGGAAACGGGGATGCATGGTGTCAGCCGGAGAAATGTTCAGAATTCGCGCGTAAGAAAGCACCGGAAGGTTTTACGAATGCGATAAGGGGCGTAAAGTCTCAGATCGTGAATTACGCACCTATTCTGCCCAACTCGTCCGTAGAGGGGTGTGCGCGGAACAGGGTTTCCCACGCTAATCGGAGTCGACTCGAAGGAAGAGGGGGCTATGCTAGCTTCTGGGAGTGTACCGAGCGCTGCCCGGCTCGGAAGCGAACTAGATTCGGTGACGTGCGGGAGCTTCTTGAGCTCGTCTTGGGACCGTGACGCCGGGGTCTGTTGATCTACGGAGTCGATGACGGTCACGTTTGAAATGTCGGTTGAAGACGAAGTTTCAGTCACAGCATCGAGGTTGATCTCCTTGGATTTTTCTGCTTGAGTACGTTGCTCTTCCGCCGATGTCCGTGTGCGTCGACCGTGTGAACGGCGACCTTTCGATTCGGCGGACGCAGTGATTGCCGGGGCGACGACATTTGGGCCGGGCGCAGATGGTGTCACCGGGGTCGTCGGAGTTGACGGAGGTCCATCGATGGTGCTGGGCCAGAGGAGAAAAATGTCAGTCCATCGCTGCGCTATCGAGAAGAATATGGAAGGGGTTTCGATGCGAGTCGACATACTCACTCTATACTAATATTGTGATAGTGTTTCAAGTGGCTTCGCAAGAGCTTTTCCTTGCGGAAACTCTTGTTGCAGTTGTCCTGTGTGCATTTGAAGTCGTTGTGATCCTCGTTTATCGTGAAAGCTTTCCTAGGCAGCAGGTCCTGAGCACTCGTGACGACCTCGTATGCCCAACCGACTGGAGGAGGTCCTTTAGCAGGTACGGCGGGTTCGGCCAACGGTGTTGCGTTCGGCGTGGCATCGCCGACAGGGGACGGCGTCACAGGAGCAGTTTTCGGTTCCTGGAGGAGAAATCTATCTTGAGAGACTCATTCCAGGAATACTGATCGCTCACTGAGCCGTTTTCCGGAAGTGAATTAATTCGCATATGTCCCTACATACTTTTTCCTTTGGTTCTCTCAGGATTCGGGTAGAGGTCCTCTCTTTTGTTTCCTTCGTCTCCCTCGTGCTCTTGTTCGCTTGCGCAACATTGCCTTTCGTCGAGGTTGCTGTCGAGCTGCTCACCTCATTCCCCACACTACTTGAACGGCCGGAATCCTTGGGAGCATCAGTAGATTTTCGGGCACTCTTACGAGCGCCAGCAAGGAACACGCCACCGACCTGGAGTCGCAAGGTGAGAAAAATATCTAAATCGACGAAGAAACTTCGGGGAATCTCCCGTAAACCTCATGAATTACCAGGAGAACCGCACCTTGAGAGTTGTTGATGGTCTCTTCGTGGGTTTTTCATCGTCGGTGGCGCGACTTCTTCTTTTCATCGTATGCTGCTTTCGATGAACTCGGATGTTTCCGCCGTCTGCTCAAGAATGCGAAAGTGATTTTACATCCCGGGCAACGGTCTTCTACTACTCGGACATAAAGATCCAAAATTTTCACAGATGCGCCAGCGCTGTCAAAACAGTCCGAGGCGATCCGCTGAGAGCGCTCCGCTCTCCGACGCTCCGCGATTTAGAGTTTCCGATTTTGATTACATATATAAGAATATATAGAAACCAACCCTTCTCAATCCATTTGTCATAACGATGACTCCAACCCTGGAAATGGATGCACACTCGGGTCTCGTCTTCCTGGGTTACCCTGACCGGGTACCAGACGCCACCCTCCTCAACTTCTAACCGACTGCCGACCTCGAACTAAAACGACGGAATTATCGAATTATAGTCGCTGCAAGGAAACTATAACATGACTGCATCGAGCTTGGGTGACATCGCTTCCGTGCCGATCGGCGGTAGCAGATCGTCCACCACTGGTCCTTGAAGGAGCCATCGGACCACTCAACAGACACCAATTTGCGCATTCGGCTCAAAAATTCGCGCCTGCGGGCTCCGACTCTTTGAGAAGCGCACGTTTGTGGACAAGTCCTGTCGGGTCGCCCGAGTGAGCGCATAACGAGAGGTAATCACTCGTCCCCTCCATTCGTACCGTAGTTGCCAGCATCCAGGTGAAAGCTGCCAGACCTGCGTTGAACAAACAACAACTCCACAAACTCAACAATGTCAACAAAGATTTTCGGCAATACTGCCGTCGTAGACGACCCGCAGAGAGCTGAAGGCCCAGTGGCGGCTCTCCTCTGCTTGCTATTCCAGCAGCGCACGCGCCAAGATGTTAGGAGCCATGGTGAGCCTCCGCCGCTTTTGACGGCCAATGGAGGCGCGAGAATTCGAATGCCAGAGCCAAGTCGCCGTTCGCCATCCTCGCTGTATACGGACTACGGACTTCGAGACGGGTTCCGCACCCCGGTTCGCAGGGGGATGAAACGCACTTCGGAAGGCCCTCTGTCATTCAGGATCATATAGATCAGTTCCACGAACCGTTCCTTCCGAAGAAACGCCGGAATGTGTTGGCGATTGATGGATGGCGGCCCATGCAAGCACCTCTATTGCCTTGAGAACATCGTAAAGATGTTCCTCCCGGCCCGGGGATTCCTCCTGACGAAGTTCCGGCTTCGTGTTCCCTCCCAAATGTTCATACGGAGCATCGACTTGCTTCTTGCTCACAATTCACAATGACAGAATCGTCCCAGTGCATTGATGAATCACTAGAGTCGACAAAGAGCCCGTAGTAGGTAAACGGAATCATTTCTCCGAAGATTTCGAGACCTTCGAGATGCAACCAGGTGCTCACCATCGATCCCAAAAATCCATTCAAGCATTGGACTGATTGTCAGCCGATGCTCCTTGAGGAACTCAGGGCGTTGAACACGGTACCGAAACTTTGCTTCGGCATCCTGGCGGCCGGCGACAGGGTCCCAATCGATTGAGTAGAACATTACTTCCAATCCCATCTCGCATCGGAAAGCATTTTCATATCGCATCGCCGCTAGAGATATTCAATGAAACGCATTGCGCTGAGTGGAACTCCGCTTTTCCATGAAATTTCGTGCTGAGTCTTTAGGTCGGAGCACCATCGATTTGATTTCACGCTTCTTCCGTCTCACTCCGCGAGCGCCCGGAGAGCAGCGCCGATCCGTCGTCGCCCGCGATGGCAGCAGCTATTCCTGCCAAGTCCTGCAGGAATAGACAAGAATCGAGCATTGGGCGCCCGTGTTCCCTGGGCACGCCTGTTTGAGCTTCTGAAGGAACTGAGGAGCAAGTACGCGCTGGCCGACGATGTAGGAATCGTCGATCGAGCTCAACAATAAGGAGAGCGACCTCATCTCATGGCGGGGATTACTTGATTCTTCGGTTTCATTTTATGCGCTGAAGGGTCAGGAGTACATCGAGATCAACAGAGTCAGATCAGGTGATTAAGGCGCCTTTGGAAACGAGGGCATCCAAAAATTTCTCGGGGATGCTATCCCATACGGAGCGATCCCCAGCAATTATATCGGAAAAGCTGACACCTGTGGAAGCCTTGCGCCAGAGATGGTAAAGGACCGAGTATGAACCGGAAGAGCTTCAAAAAAAGCAGCCCAGCGAGCGAGTGAGAGTACGTCACTGATATTTTTCGACTCGACAGCGCCTGTCGAAGTCGAAGTGACGGGAGACTACATGGGTTGGGGACGATCCCGACGCAGAAGAATCGACGGAAAATCTAGGGATTGTCTGCTTAGTCAAATTTTTCGTAATCATGAAATGCTTGTGCCGGCCAGACTGTGCTCAGAAGTGAAAGGTTTTAATGCCAAGGACCGCACTGCAACCTGGCTCGTGGTTTCCGGTCGCTCCTTCCATGCAAGCTGCGAGAACGATTCCGAAAACCACTTTATCACCTATTTTGCTGAATTGCGGGGTGCCAAGCTTCTTGTACTGCGAACGCAACGGAGGTCGCGAGCACTTCCAGGGTCAAGACTCCTCTCCGGCACGGAATGACGGCGAGGCTCTAGCTCCAATACATGGTAGTTGCTTTCCCGGGGGCATTTTTTTGGTCGTGGTCTCTCAGCTTTTCGCGGGTTTATTTCTTGGATACAATGATCGGATCATCCATAATTCGCCCTGAGAATGAAGGAAGTAGCAGCCTCCTCTCTGGAATATCGAGAACTTGGATTAAGATCTATGAAATCAGGTGAGAATTGATAGCGTTCGGTTAAAATCGTCGAGTTTAGGCATGGATTGATGAGCCTGCGGAGATTTGGTAGGCTCAGCTCACCGTACAGCATAGATCATGAATGAATGCATGAACCTTCAAACTGACCTTTTCATTGATGTTCACGGATGTCGAGGGGAGGGGGAGCAACAAGTCGACACTTCCCATCCGATTGGAGAAACCCTTTCGGCTCATCCGTCCTCATCGATGGGGAGTCACGGCACCGAAAACCTTGACATCACGCTCTAGTTCAACAAGTCATCGAGCTGTTCCTGATGTTGGGATACCATGGGATCGTCATGACATTTCACGGCTGGAATTTTCGGAAATCATCAAATGGAAAAGGAAAACACAACTCCCAAAGAATCTGTGCGACCGCCAACATATGGAGGGTTTCGTTTTTGGATTGTAAATGAATTACCGTAGATTGGTTGGATCCTGGTACAGGACTCTCTAAGACATTCTTCTTGTAGAAAACATTTTTCAGATCGACGATGTAGAAGCTTTTCTGAAGAATTTTGTCCGAAGATCCCGCTCACAGTCCGACCCCAGCGTGTCGATAAAAGAGTCCCGACGAGTCGCTTGTCATAACTAGAGACCGGGACTTCATGCATTAAAAAAACGGGATTATGCATGCAAACATGCACTGAAAACAGCCGAAATATGCTTTGAAATGAGCAATATATGCACTCAAAGAATGTGATCAGAAGCGTCGACTCGGTTTTTAAGGGATTCGATCAGCCTTATTCATCCACGTACGCTCTCCCGATTTTATACTATTAATGAGCTTAAGAATTAGGTAGTCCGAGGGAGGCAGTAGACTATTGCATGCATTCCGAAATTTTCAAAGGTGATTTCCGTCGGGTTTCGCTCAAAACGTGCTCCAGAGTAGAGAAGCTTCTCTCGACGTCTACGGAAGTGATTGGTGCAAACATGGAGGAAGCCAGCTCTGATGGGTCCAAACCAGGGACTTCATCAGCACTGTGGTCTCCTTGGAGGACGTTCGAAATTCCTCTGAAGGTGGTGGAGTCACCGTTGCGAGCCACAGTCGCTTCGCACTTGTCTAGGATGTATTGCACAATGACCCCAGGGGCCTTCTTGAGGTCTTGAGCCGTAGATGACCACTGCTAATGATTGGGAGTGTCCCGACACCTGTTGTTGGAACCCATGGATGCGGTCACGGCGCTGCTGGAGTTGCATTATTGCAGATGCTCGCACTCAACGCACGGCTCGAATTGTCCCTCACCTTGTGCACTCGCCAAAGAAACTTTGGAGCCTTATAAGTTCGTCCTGCGGACGAAAGCAACAATCTCTGCGCTCACGCTTCTTATCAAACCCCTCGAAGGCTTCTCTGGATATCTTCGCAGACTATTTCTCCTCTGTGGGAAAATCCACGTCGGATCTATGTCCTGCCCCTTCCCGAGCCTCGGTCACTCTGGACGCTCTCCTCTCCTGCTTCACTTGTACTGCGAGCGCTCCCTTTGAGCTCCGATACATCGACCCCTCATCTCTCCCTGAGCTCGCTTCTTCTATGAAGAGCTCCTATGCCCGTGCGCACACGTCAGTCCCTGCTGAGGTTCTCCGTAACGTCATGCATGACATATCCGTACAAGTTGCGTTCTTGTTCAATCTCTCTATCCGACACTCGCACTTCCCGTCAGCCCTCAAGAAGTCGACGGTAGCTCCTGCATATAGGGGGAAAAGGTGACGATACTTCCCCCGGAAACTATCGACCTATAGCTTTGTCTCCCTATCTATCGAAGCGCTGTGTTCTGTCGCAGCTCGAAACATTTGTCAGCAGTCGTGATTGGATTTCCCCCAACAGCACGGTTTTCGCCCTGGCAGCTCAACCGAGACTGCCCTCCTGGAGATCAAAGAGTTCATTCACAGATCGTTGCATCGGAGAATGCCAGTCATATCCCTCATCCTGGATCTGTCTAAGGCGTTCGACTGTCTTGTACATGCGTCTCTCCTCGAGATACATCGGTCTCTCGGAATCGGCCCACATACGCTGGACTGGTTGACCTCCTCTCTCTCAGGTAGACTCACTGTGGTATCGACTTGTACTATCCAGTCCGACGCCTAGGAAGTTGCCTGTGGGGTTCCCCAGGGATCAGTTCTAGGACCATTCTTGTTCCTTGTAAACGTGAACCCCCTCCTTCTATTCGCAAACTCGCTATCACCAGATCTCAAAGTTGTGTCTTTTGCAGACGATACGAGTATATTATTTAGCCTGGATCGAGCCGACTCGAGCCGCTCTTGAACACAACTCAATCACTATCTAGAGGAGGTCATCTTCTCAGCCTTCTGCTGGCTTCGGTTACGGTGAATGCCTCGAAGACGAATGTACTCTGTTTCACGCCTTCCCGATGGCATTCATTCGACATACTTTCTCCGATCTCCCTAAACGGAGTCGACCTCCCCCTCTCGCGCACTGCCCCTTGTCTCGGGATAGAATTCGATAACTCCCTCAGTTGGAAGCCTCACACGGAATGACTGCGATCCAGACTATCCTCGCTTGTATTCTGCATCCATCGACTCCGACGCTTAGGTTTCCCCCGCGAAGTCCTGCTAGATGTTCTTCGTGCAATTTTCAGCAGCTCTGTTTCGTATTGCAACTCCGTTCGGGGATCCTCCGCCCCCGCTTCCTCTCTCAACTCAATTCAAGTCGTAAAAAACAACGCACTACGTGCGGTTTTTGGCCTACCGACACATACCTCAGTGAGAGATATGCTCAAACATTTCTCTATCCTCACCATTAGACAACTCTATTTCTACAGGTTATCTCGCCTCGCCTTCTGCTCAGTCCACCAAACCTTACCTAACTCTCTTGCGCTGTCTGATCTTGTTCTCTCAGAACGCCGCTCCCGCCATTTGCTCATTAGAACTACAAACGTTGCCTCCCCCGCTCTCTGTGGCTCGCCTTCACATCAAATGGCTCATGTATGGAATGGATTACCGTATGATTTGCGGACCGCCAGCTTATTCTCCTGGTTCAAGAGATTAATCATTGTCCACTTGAGAAAAAATGCGGCCTAGAGCCTGCGGGCCAGAAAGACTGAGC